AGACTTTTCAGTATATCCATCATGGGAAGTTCTGGAGTGTCCTGTTGAGCCGGGGTTAGGACCCAAAAACACAGAAACACTCGAGACAGGCGCAGATGAAATAAGTAAATCCTTTATTTAAAGGAGGAGACTTGATCCAGTGGTCAAAAAATACAAAAACAGAAGCTCAAAAACAGAGCACAGACACGGGCAAAACTCTGGAAAAGACAGAACAACGTAGGCACAAAACAATGGACCGACAAACACTGAAGGACGAGACAGGGTTTTAAACACAGAGGAGGTGATCAGGGGAAGAGGTGACAGGTGTGAGGAGTGAATCTGGAGGGAAGGCAGGCACATACAATTACCTAAATAAGGGGAAAGAACAAGCAGGAGGGCAGACAAACCTGAACCTATAAATCACGGATAAACTAAACCTAAAGACAGAGGGCAAGCATAAACAGCTAATAACTGGATGGATGGGGAGGACTAATATCAGGGAGTGATAGGAGGACACCTGAGGGAAGCCTAGAGAGATGACAGGAGGGGGCTGGGGACCAGAGGGACACAGAACAAGACAGGAGCACAGGAACGCCGAATAGGAGACACATAAGGAGGACGCGGAACATGACATGGAGAAGTTGTAAAAGTTTTGCAAAAAAACAAAAACTTGCTTCATGCAAGGGGGTGGGGAAACTTTGGGAAGAACAAAAAAATGATATTAAAGGTACCTCAAAACATGCTCTAATCTCTTCATATTCAGTTGTACACATAAACAAAAACTGAGAACCACCTTATGTGTGTTGATGAGGGTGCAACTCCAGCATAAGGTCAGGACTCTAATTCATGTTCCAGATTTTCCTTCGCCGCAACACACATGTCAAGGTTTAATTTATGAAGGTTTATTATCGACAGTGTCCAAGGTAAAATCATATAATCTCAGGGTGGTTATGTGGCTGAATGTAATATATATATATATATATATATATATATATTGTAACCCTACATACACTGCATGGCCAAAAATAAAAGTCGCCTCCTGGATTTAACAAAGCAAATAGGTATGAACCTCCTATTGGACAATTATTGCATGGGTGATGGCAACCAGTTATTTAACCCAATTGGTGCAAAGAGTTGCTTCTCATTTCTTAAACAGCCATGTGGAAAGACACATCTGGTGGTTGTGGAAAAGATGTTGGTCTGGCATGCATCAAGAAGAGAACACATCTAACGAGATAATAGAAATGACTAAAATTGGGTTAAGAACTGCCCAACAATTAATGACTGGAAGAATAGTGGGGACCCATCATCTTCAAGGAAAAAATGTAGCAGTGAAAAAATCCTGAATGATCGTGATGGGTGATCCCTTAAACATCGTTAAACAGTAGAACTAAGGGCTATGTTTAACAGTGAAAGTTAGAGCATTTTCACTCGCACAAGGTGAAGAGAACTCATGGGATTGGGACTGAACATCTGTGTAGTCGTAAGTCACTAATCTGGCTTCGATTAGCCAGGGAGCATAACGATTGGACTCTGGAGCAATGGAAGAAGGTCATGTGTTCTGATGTGTTCAGTTGGACCCTGTTCCAGTGAGATGGGTGCATCAGGGTAAGAAGAGAGGCAGATGAAGTGTTGCATCCATTATGTTAAAGCCTGTGGGGGCAGTGTTATGATCTGGGGTTGCTGCAGTTGGTCGGGTCTAGGTTCAGCAACAGTGTGCTCTCCAAGAATAAGGTCAGCTGACAACCTGAATATTCTGAATGACCAGGTTATTCCATCAATGCATGTTTTCTTCCCTGATGGCACCAGCATATACCAAAGTGACAATGTCAGGATTCATCGGGCTCAAGTAGTGAAAGAGTGGCTCAGGGAGCACGAGACATCATTTCACACATGGATTGGCCACCACAGAGTCCAGACCTTAACCTCATTGAGAATCTTTGGGCTGTGCTGGAGAAGGCTTTGTGGAGTGGCCAGACTCTACCATCTTGGTCAAACATTAATGCAACACTGGATGGAAATAAATCTTGTGATACTGCAGAAGCTTATCAAAACAACGCCACAGAGAATGTGTTCTGTAATCAAAGCCAAAGCTGGCCCAAAAAAATATTAAGAGTGTGTGACCTTGTTTTTTGGTGGCAACTATTTTTGAGCCAGGCAGTGGGTATTGTCTCCTAACAATTTATTTAAAAAAATAAATAAAAATTCCCTGGCAATTATGAATCTTTTTTCAAATTTGTAGGAGCCAAATATGTTGTTTCCTTTTCTTTTGTCTTGATGTTTTAATTGATATGTGGCCGTGTCATTATTACTGGTCAGAATAAAGGTAGTGATGTCATTGTTGAAGTTAGGCACTATTTCGGAAGGGCAAACTGGTTTTTGACCGCTGTGGCGTAAAGACGTTTGAATGGGAATGGAAGCTAATTACTCCAGTCACTGTTTCACCTGGAATGCAATTAACATTAAACAAGAAGCATCATCGCGACAATTCCACGTTTATGGCTGTTTTATTTAAGCAAATAGTAATTCAGTCAGTCAACGTCGGATCAACACAGAGCGTCAACCAGGTCCCGGTCTAACACCCTCAGAAGTTCAAGTAATGGACTTGACTTCTACAAAATTGTTGGAAATTTACATTTCACATAAGATTACAAATGAAAGTGCAGGATATCTGAAAACATATCTGCTCATGAACAATCTATGAACGAGGATGATTTTTAGTTTAGGAATATTAAACTTTGCATGTTAAAGACCCATAATGTGAGGTTTGGTGAGTGGTTTTCTGTGGACGACTGTATTTTCAGCAATTTGTTATGAGCATCTTGCTTCAGTCATTTATTTTCCACATCCTGCTTCTGATTTTAGATGCTAATCTGCTGAAATAAAGTCCTTCATTCAGAAACTAGAAATAAATCTGTGTTGTGCCAAAGTTGTTGCTGCCATTCAAGTATAACTTCCTCTTTTCAGGCCTGAGCGGCATTGCTCAATCTGTCACGACGTGACGGTGAGTGGAACGGAGGTGAGGATCAACACGCTGGGGAGGAATCAGGCAGGTAGACAAACTGGGTAACGTAAAAGGTTTTTAATAACAAACGCACGCAGGACATGGGAACAATGAGCCAACAAGAGACACAGAACTGGAGGGGTTTAAATACAAGAGGGCTGGGAGCTTGGGTGATTGGAAAACGAGAGGCAGGTGGGAGCAATTAACAGAGACGCAGGCTGAACCAAATGGGGAGACAGGACAGGGTGTGACACAATCACATTTGAGTGTGTGCTGGTAAACAGTCTATTTAGAGAGAGAAAGATGGGGAATGTATATTATATATCGTCTGCAATGATTCTCTTTTATACCTAAATTTTAAAATGGAAAATACCCCAGAATCCTTTCTGAGGAAGCCCCATGCGAGCAGGCTGGATGATGGGTATTGATTGTAATGTTTAGATTAAGAAATCTGATTCCAAATCAATGCATGTGCTTTGTTGAGTAGGTTTGACATTTAAGAAGTAAAAAAGAAAAATGCATAATATTATGCAGTATTATAGCAGCATTACGTTTATTTTTAGTGGACTGAAGGTAGAGGAACTGCTGTCTGAGGTCTCGTCCAGCAGCCTCAGAACAGATGGCCCCTCTGTCAGATCTGGACCGTGAGTCAACAGTACTTGCGTTCCAGATCAGTCTTGGCGCAGCAGACACTCAGCTTGCCTTCACCTGTTTGGTTGAAAAGGATGCTTGTTACAGCTGATTACTCAGAGTCAGATGTGTTTTAAGAAGAGCTTGATGATTTAACACCGTGAATCATGTCGAATGTTCCAGCTTCTCACAACTGGAAAATAAAATTTTAGCAATGGAAGTTTATCTAGTATTTACCAGATGTTGTGGCATCCTCAGTGGGTTCCACTTAAGCTGTTTCTTTTGTTGCATAGAATTTAACATTTTAATATTTAATTGCAGGAGGCATACACTCGTTATTTCACTAAATCTTTTGAGGTCTCTAGTATGAATGAATGCCTTACTTTGTTTTCTTTATAAAAAAATTCTGACACTCCTGTTTCGGGAAGTAGAAGTTAGTCAGAGGACTGTGGGGGAGGCAGAAAAGAGCATGATTTGGAGTCTTACTCGATAATATTCATGATATGCTAATATATTACTGGTCAACAGCGATGCTACTCTTTTGCTATCTACGACTATCTATTACTAGCCGAGACGTTTGCTCCTGTCTGCAAAGTCAATACAGCCTTCGTGTTCGAAAGTCGAGGTGGGTGAGTCCATGGATGCTAACTTGACACGGAGACGTAGAGCTGTCCGGCATATTCTGACTCAAGCATTTTCCTGTTGCCTGCCAAAGCAGATAAGGGGGGTTGAAGAGTAATTTGACGTTGCATGCATGTGAAACTGAGAGTGACCAAATGTATTTCAAAATGAAAAGTAATAAACATTTCTCAGTGAATCTCTGCTTTAAGATACTTGGTTATGGTAATTAATGAGTGTATTTTATTGAAACCGAAGAAACATTCACCCCTCACTTTCTGCTAACTTTTCCTATTTGTAGCATTTTGGATATAAGGCTTGTAATGAACTCTTCTCACCTTTCATGCTTGCAGGTTATGGAGAAAGACACCATACGCAATTGTTGTTTTTGTCTTCTTTTTTCCGGTTTCAGGTTTTTCCTTCTCGGCTCTTCTGTGGCGGCGCTTCGCTGGGAGTGATTGTGCTCATAACATACAAAACTGGCTCACTGCCATAAATTAATGCAAGAAAATGTGATTTATCTTCTTCCTCTTACACATCCTTTCAGCTGACTCTAAAATACCAGCAAATAGGGGGTATAAAAAGGGGGCAATGAAAGCTCAAGAGTGTGGATCGTGCAATGAATCAGTTTATTAACGGTGGACTGGGAAGCTGTGTTGGCACAGGGGTAAATTTATCCATTCATAAAGTGGTGTTTACAACATTTATCTTCAACTAAAAGTAGGCCTCTAAAAAGTAACAAAGCACCCAAAGACAAAGACATGGCATGATGGATCTGAGAGTTCCCGAGTCAAGGCTGCTGGCAGACTCAGAGGTATTTCACTGCCGTTGCAGGTTAGTCTAGAGATAATATCTACTCCTGTACAATGAAGACAATGCTGCTTTTGTTTCTGTTTCCTGATTGGATCTGGCAAACACAGCACAGCACTGCTGTGTGATGAACAAAGATGAGAATGAATGACACCCAACGGAAATGAATGATCTTTGGAGAATCTTCAGGAATTCTCTCTAACAACAATAAATTCCCATGAAGTCCTACCTGAAGGAATGCAAAAGCCACACTACCATTAATGTTCTTCAGCTGTTGATATTTGATTTTCTTCTTTTTCGTTCAAACTGAATCTTCATGAACAAGATCCTAGAAGTGTGTGCAATGCGAATAAGAAAAACCCAGCTGGCTTTAAGCCTGAAACCAAACGTCTCTTTATATTCCTCTCATTCTCCTCCCCTTTGGTGAGGAGAGTTAAAGCAGAAAGCTTTTGAAGTTTTGCTCAGTTTTGATAACTGACTCTGATCAGAGCAGTTAAGCAAAAGGGCATTCATAAAGGAATGTGGACATCTGAAATCTCACAAAGGCAATTGATGTTAACACTAGGACATGATGGAATCAATCAACCTGGCAGCAAAAAGACAGGACATCTTTCTCTTCTGGTTTATTGGACAAACAAATAGTCAAGGCACACTGACAGTCAAGTGTAAAGCGACTCCTTAAGTCAATGCTTGGAAAGAAGCAGTATATTAGATAAAGTGACATCCAGTAGTGATATTAAAGTTTCCATCCAACCAATGGAACGAACCCCACCCATTTTTGTTGGAAGTAACAATATTCAGACATCCCATTTCCCAGCAAGAATCTTCAACTCTTGTTGGTGTATCCCACTGTGTTCCTTGCCTAGATAGATATATTTTGCACTGCATCTCCTCTGAATTGAATCTGGTTGGAATGGAAGTTGCTAACCCTAACCCTCCAGAAAAGGACATTCATGTTATTTAGATCTTCAAACCACCTCAAAAGACTCCAGTTGATGTGGAGGAGCAGATGCTATACTCAGAAATCTTCCTGAATGATGGGGGCAGTTTGGAATAAGACTAAACCTATTCACCCTACAGAAAACACTTATTTCATCTGTCTACGTCTGTGATTTCTCTTTCAGTCTCAAATCAATTCTCATGGCCATAGGAACATCGATGGACAGCTGCAGTTTATAGTCAGACAAAGTGTGTAGCTATCTGCACCGTCATCATGCCAGGAGTTGCCACTCGAGATGACAGTGTGCCTATGACTTTTGATTTTCTATTCTAGGATTATTACTGCAACAACACATCACCAGTAGAGTGACGTTTGCTATCCACACAAAGGTCTCAATACTGGTCACCTTCCAGTGGGTGAATGATCTTTTATTTCTGCCTCACAAGAATTGGAAGAGTTGGTGTCAAAGGATCAAAAAGCTAGCCTGGCAAGCCATCCTATATATGTGAATATATAGTCTGGCCATGTCCCATAGACATAGCTCAGTTGAAGGGCGGACTCTACAGTTCTCTTTCAAATTGTCTCTGCATGCTATTGGACAACGAACAACGTAATGGACTCAAGGCTACGGATGTCAGTCAATGGGATAGCATGCCATACAATGTCAAAGAAGAAGCAAATACATATTTTTTCTGAATAAAATAATTAAATACTGTTATCTGCTCTTCATTCAAAGAAAAGCCCACGTCTAAATAGTTCAAAGTTGATGCTGAAGTCATTTGAAACAAGCTGCCAACATTTTACTTGTTCTGCTTCATCACATCATCTCTCCCACCAAAAGGATAGAGTGCTGTTATTGGTATAACACAATACTGCTCAGGGGTCTCATTTATCAAACATTGAGTAGAATCCTTACTAAAACTGTACTTAAGTTCAGCAAAAAAAAGTACTTACACCAAGTAGGTTTGTGATCTATCAAACATGGAGTACGCACAGCTGCACGCAATCTCCGCTTCATATATCAGAGACTAACGAGAAAGGTTCTCAGCTGCTTTTTAGTCACATCCCGACCTCACCACGCCCACTTACTGCCATAAATGGTCAATGCAAAGTGCCTTGTGGATCTCAAGCATATACATAAGCCGGCTGTTGCAGCACTCCGCCAATGACGATGGCGACCGTAGATCAAGGCAGAACAAGTGATAATGCTGCTGGAATTCATAATTTTATCCTTCTCAGCAGCAGCACTGCAGGTGCTCTCCATGTCCAAAATGTGCATAAGCCAGGTCCTTAGTCAACTTAAAGTTGCACACATTTTTTCGCTAAGTTTTTGTTCATAAATCCCAAAGTTTGCATGGATAATTGCATACGCAGTTTTCCAACCCCGTTTTGTGCGTAAGCAAGCTTGATAAATGAGGCCCCTGGCCAATGGTAGACCTGCTGAGGCTCCTATTGAGTGTGGCTAGACGAACATGCAGAACAAAAATGTTTTGCTTTGTCTACTGTCTGTTTTGATTTCTAGGCTATCAAAAAGCAGCATTGCCTTAAACACTGGTGCCTCTAACCAGTGATCCCTGTGGACACCTTTCTTACAGCCATGTTTTAAGTGGGCCGGAACACATTGTTATGCAGTACTGTTATTATTATTTCAGTGAATACTTGGTGGTTTTATTATTTTGGTTCAGCAGGTTTAGCCCCCGAAGGCCACTGCAAGTCCCCTCTACTTTAGTTCCACTTCCTCTTGGGATGAAGGGTCATGGTTGCATGCACTGGAAGCCAAATGGTGATGGAAGAGGCGTTAGGGTCCCGCCCCATAACCAAAGGTTAGAAGGTTCAGTCCCCCTCAGTCTGTCACAATTGTTGTGTCCTTGGGCAAGACACGTCACCCATCTTGCCTGCTGGTGGAGGACGGAAGGACCGGTGGGGCCTGGTGTGTATGGAAGCCCCTCTTCTCAGGTAGTCCCCAGGCTACTGTGGCTCATTACTGTCAGTGTGTGAATGACTGTTGTGTTGTAAAGTACCTTGAGGGGTTCACAGACTCTGGAAGGCACTATATGAACATAGGCCATTTATCATTCTTGGCGCCATAAACTGACTGGTAACATGTCGTTTTATTTAAAAAACTAAATTTTAATTTAGTCTGACAAACTTTTTAATCTCGTCTTTGAAAACTGACCTCAAGCCTTATAGTAAACACTGCATATTCTGTCCTGAAATGACAGAATATAAAAATGATAAATGCACTGATGCTTTTCTCATTTTCTCTGCCATTTCTTTGACAGTAATAGCAATAACAGCTATCAGTAAAGTAACAAATGGCGCTTTGACCACTGCCATCAATAATCCCACACTGATACTCTCTGACATTTGAGCAGTAAAACTCATAATCGAACAGCAGCGGTCTCGACTCCTCACAGAGTCCACCAAGTCTGCACCGCGCGAGCAGATAGATGGTGGAGCAACTTTAAGATGAAATGTGGAGCAGATGGCACCCTGTAGGTGGTACCGGCCATCTCTGATATGGGCATTTGCACTGCGTGAGACAGAGCCTGTCACTGATTGGTGTCTATCTGGCCCACTGGTTGGTTGATTTCTAGCATTACACGCCACAGGATGCAGGCTGAGTGTTTGTGTGGTGACAGCATGGTAGAAAAATCATTATTACTGGGGATTGACTTCAGTGGCCATCAAGACATCATTCAGCAAAAAGAAAAAGAAGCTAAGGAAAAGAAAAGAAAGCTGCAATAACAAACGAAAGAGAAATCTGTGAGTGCTACATTACAAGTCCGTGTTTGGACATCAGTTAGATGAATTATATATTTCCAGGCATGAAATAAGGAGCAGTTTGGTTTCACGAATGTATTTCCTGCCTTTTTCCCCAATAGACTTGAAAATGTCACCACATTTATGTCCATACAAAACCCCCTCGCATCATCATATCCACTTACCTAAAGCAGGTGACCTTACAATATCTTTCTGAACCCTGGCTAAGTATTACACAGCAAATGCATTATGAAAATAACATACAAAAAAGTACGGTAATAGTGGCCAATTTATTGGTGCTAAACTGTGGAGGCAGTGAACTCAGTCCTTATGCTGGGAAAATTACTGTCTGCAAAATGGCTGCACTGTACAAAATTGGCCTCAGTTCTCTGCAGCCATGAAAACCACAACATCGGCTTCCAGAACATTAGTCCTCTGCATAAATCAAACGTCAGATTCAAAGTCAAATTTTTTGAGGCAGTCCTTACTCATACAAGTGTTGCACTTGAGTTTAAAGATCCGAAATAGGTTTTTTGTTGTAATATTGGGTGAGCGACAGTACCAAAAAGGAGGTGATTAGATCAAAATCAGCTGTCATAATATATGATTTGATACTCATTTTAATACAAGATACTTAAAAAAAACAATTACAGGTTTCAGTCCCTACTGAAGGGACTTATATCATGGCAGTCACTTGTTTAATGTTTTATGGATTTTCAGTTTGAGGATCAAGAGAATTAGATGTGCATCCTAATGTTCTCACTACATAATAAAATATAGGTATTTAGTTTTTAAAAAACAGCTTTGGTTTCCATTTCTTGGCATGATTTTGTGCTAACTTCCTGTAGCATCTAGCTATGCTTGAATACCAATACTAGCTGGTATCTAATTAGGGAAAAGTGGAGCTTTAGCTTCAGCTGTGGTATCCTTATTTAAAGATCAAGTTCACTGAGAAACCATTTCTTACTTGTTATTTTAGAAAATGATCAGTCACTGGGTTTAACATGCAAGCTCAACGTGAAAAGTCTTCTGTCCCTATTGTTGGCATTAGCCTCTAATAGAAAATAGACGGAGAAACTTTCAATCGAGAAAGGCCTAACAATCACACGTCATACTGAAAATTAGCTTTGCATCGACCTTGGTTTGCGACAGGAAAGGATTTTGTTCCTTTAGCATCCAGGAGATAGCGGAGCACATCTCAGCTATTAGAAGCTAAACATTAGCATTAGCAACTCCACAAACATGGGAAATCATGCTGTCTGCTGCCTCTTTCTCCTCCAGCTGACCTGTGCACATCCTTAAACAGGAGCCTCTGAGCTTTTGTTCCCCAGAAAACAACTTACAAGGCATTCATTTCTACTAGAGACTATTGCAAATGTATTAAAAAAGTAAACTTGATCTTTAATTATTCTGCCATATCTATACTTTAAAAGAAAATGCTGTTTGTTAGCATTTCTTCCAATGAAAAAAACAACAACAACAACATTCTTTGCTGTGCCTGTGTAATGTTACTGTTGAGTTAAGTTGAAATACCCCTCAGTCGCCACGAGGGGACCTGCAGCTCGTATTTTGTTGGGCAACTATAACTGTAGGTATTTAGAGATTTTACTGTTGTTCACATTTTTAGTCCAAAGATTTGACATCTAAAAAAACTCTCCAAAGCATCACTGTATGTGAAATTATTCCCCCAACATATACATATTCAGTGCATGTCTGCTCTGATGGAGGGAAGATGTTCAGAAAAAGTAAATAGCTAAAAATATTATTTAAAAAAAGTTAAGTGTTGGCATAAATCTTTCAGAAGCAATGAGATGAGCATGACAGCTTTAAATAACTTTACAGATTAGGTGAGAATACTTGACGGAGAGCATATGGTGTCTGAGGATGATCACATGTGAAGTAGTGGTGCAACTGAAGCTGACTACCGAAATTAGCTCACAGGTGTTGCACGCTAATTGATATTGTTAAGGTGCTTGCAAATTCCTTTACATGGATGCATCTCCTGATCTCTTTAGGAAAAAAAACATAGTCGGACAGTATCGGTTGTGTTGTCGTAACAGCACAAGTGAAAAAGTACTGCTATTGCTGATTATGTCCATCCCCTGCATGACATCTGATGGTTACTTCCAATGCATCATGTCACAAAGCTCAGATCATCTGTAATTGGTTTCTAGAAGAGAATAATGAGTTTACTGGACTCCAGCAGCCTCCAGAGTCCCCAGATCTCAGGCCCTGTCCACACGTAGCCGGGGATCTGCCAAAACGTAGATATTTTTCTACGTTTTGGCCTGTCATCCACACGAAAACTGAGTTTTTTCACACGAAAACGGATCTTTTTAAAAACTCCAGCCAAAGTGAAGATCTGCGTTTTCTCCGTTTTGGGTGTCTGCGTGTGGACAGACAAAACCGGAGTTTTAAGGTACGCAACGTCACTTTCTGCGACAAAAAATGCTGACATCACGTGTGCGACCTGTGTTTACACTAGCCGACAGCATGGATGCCCTCAGAGCTGCGCTCGCTTTATCAATTGTCCAAGCGCTTTTTGCTTGTTTGTTTTTGCAAGCGGAATTACTGCTCCTTGCGGAAGACCACAGATGAAGGACGAGGTTAAGAACGGGGGAAGTACTGCCGCCTACAGGTCTGGCATGTCCTTAACAACGTATTTATCCGGGTACGCGCGGACAGAGTTTTTTTTTTTTTTTAAAACGAGGTGGTGTGGATACAAGTTTTTGGAGGGGCGGATATTTGTTTAAAAAAAACCCGGCTACGTGTGGTCTAGGCCTCAGTCCAGTGTAAAACCTTAGAAAAATTCACATAATGTCTTGACAAATCTGCAATGATACAAGTGATGCTAACCTGTCATACATACCGAAAACAGTTTCTTACTTCTGAAATATGATCGGTCACTCTGAGTTCACCTTGCTGGCTAAGGTGAAAATAGTCTTCAATCCCTATTCCCTGCATTAGTCATCAACAGAAAATAGATGGAGAAACTCTTGATTTAGAAAAGCCTGAAAAATGCACGTATAATTTAAAATTAGCGTTCATGAACTCACTCATCTTGGATTGTGACTGGGAAAGCTGTTGTTGATTTAGAGCAAAGCACGTCTCAGCTAGTAAGAGCTAACCTTTCGCATTAGCAACTCCCCAACATGACAGAACTCTTCCAGGCTAGGGCTGTCGCGGTAACCGCAAAAATGAAATATCGCAATATGAAGAAGCCCACCGCGCTGCATCATGGGCCACCGCGATTACTGAACTTGGTTCAACTCAATGATGCATGTTGAGAAGGATGGCTGCACTGGTATCAAAACGAAACGTCACTTCGCTCCTTTGGGAGCACTTTGGTTTTCAGTACGTCAGCTGCTGCGCAGCCAGAGTCCTTGGCCGAGACAGAACTGCCACCAGCGGCAAAAAAATAATAATAAACGCTCGGAGACCTGCTGAAGTCCTGGACAAGCACTGCTTCTGCAGCCGTCCCGAAGAGAGTTTGAGCCGAGCTGGAGCTCACTCGCTACCTGCAGGAGGAATGCAACCGGGAGAGATTCCCTTTGCTCACCAGAGTCGCACGCAAGTACGTGTGCGTTAGTGCAACGAGCGCACCATCCGAGGCGGTTTTCAGTGTTGCTGGAAATGTTGCCACCCCTCTCAGATCCTCTCTCAAACCGTATATGGTTAACATGCTGGTTTTCCTTGTAGGTAACAAGGACGTGACCGAGCTATAAATCACCGTCATTCGTGTGTGTGAAAGTGAAATGATAGTGCGCTCGCCCCCCGGTGTGCGCGCGCCCGGTACATGTAATTTTTTTATGCTTGATTTTAAACAACTAAACACAATGGGGACTTGTTTCTTATTTGTTAGATGCTGCAGCCAAATTTGCATTTAAAAGTTTAACCTTCTCCTGAATTTTGTTGTTTTTAAGTTCAGTCGGACTCCGACTGTCGGAGAAACAAACGTTACTGCGATCTGTGTTGTTACTGCCCTTTGATCTGCATTCAGTAAAGTGTTATAAAAGAAGGCACGGCAATTTTTAACCTTTTTTAAATGTGTAAACCTTATGTTTAGATAGTACTGCAATAAAAAAAATAAGTGCTGCAATAATATCGCACACCGCAATATTAAGCCACCCTGAATCACCGCAGGAGGAATTCCTCAACCGCGACAGCCCTATTCCAGGCTTGTGTTTTTTTCCAGAAACAACAATGTTGCAAAGCAAACAGAGTCAGTGGTATTCGTGTTGCTGTTAGCCAATCAGAGGCAAGATGTCCGAATATCAGGAAATAAGAATCCAAAACTTGCAGTTTTCTGCTCATCTCCATCTGGCTCACTTCTAGTTCCTGAAACAGGAATGTGAGAGCTTTTTTCCACAGACTGTGACTCACAAGGCATTCGTTTATACTAAAGACCACAGCAAATGTGTTGAAAAAAAAAACAACTGAACTTGGTCTTTAAGACCCTACTAAAGGTAGAATAAGGGCAAAACTGGAACTACCAGTGCTACAGTTTGTCACGGTCTGCCTCAATCAGCAGGAGAGGAGACCTGGCAGTCAGCTGTTTGTGTTGCAAGTGGGCGTGGCAACGAGCTCCAGCTGATCCTGATCCTGCTAATCAGAGGGCCAGGGGATTTAAGGAGCGGTGTGACACAACTCCACTGCCGGTTGATTCTCTCACCAAGGGTAGTTTCTAGCCCAGTATATCTCCTGAAATTCCTGCAAACTTGTCCTATGAAATCCTGTGTGTTCTTGTTCCAGTATCTCGCCTCGTATCCTCTAACCACGCCTGGAGTTGTATTCCACGTCCCGCCGTTCAGGATCCTCTGCCCTCCACTCTCCATCGCTCGCTCGCTCACCTGCCTGCCAACCTACACCCTGGACTCATACAACCATCTCCTGACCACCTCCTCTTCAGTCATCGGTCCTCTCGCCTCTTCTCAACTGATCTTCACCCAGTCCACCACCGCTAAGCCCTGGTCTATGACCGTAAGAACAATTCTACCCAGAAATGGATTATTCTCTTGGTTCTCTGGTTCTGGCACAAGTTTCACGATTGTTTATTGTTTTAAGATTCCAGTCCCGTCCTGTTCCTGTTTTTCTGGAGCAGCGTCTTTAGTTTTCCTTATCCTCAGTTAATAATTTTACTATTTTACTTTTTGTGTGTGGTTCTTCATGTCCTGGGTTAAACAGGTTGCCCACAACATGACAGTTTTATTCTTCTTTGCTTGTGGACACAAACAAATATATGCTAAAACTAAAGTAATTGATCCTTTTTGTTTGGTGTGGCAGAATTTGAACACAAGACAGAGAGCTGAGGGGGTGAGAAGTGATGGTTTTAGCTAGATTTTCTTTTGAAAAGAGCAGCAAATGATACCCATCAAAACATCAAAACTTCTGGAGGAAAACTACTCGCTTGACAAATGGAAGAAACAAAATAACATGACAGAGGGAATGGCAAAACCACATACTCGCAGAATCAGACGAATTACAAAAGAAAAAACAACTAATAAAGAAACCTAGCAGAACAGAACACGTACTCATTTCTTTGTGCAATTTTAAAAAATGTTCTCACAGAAGCATGTCATTTATAACATGGAACTGAGATGTTTTCTTGATCTATTTACTCCCACAACGAGATAAGATGACCGTTTTAATGAAAAGCCCTCTCTCTGTAAAGACCAGTCATAATTTATGAAAGAATCCCAAATTCACTCACATATACATTAGTGTGTCAAATCCAATTTTTTACAAGTCAACAAGCCTGCATTTTCAAGTAAGTGGTTTCTGGTTTTTCTTTGGTTTATATAAAGCATCTGAAGTATAGACAAGTGGTTGCTAGGAGGCGTGAGTGTCTGCTGCATATGGCAGAGAAAGCCACGAACCAGTGGGAGGGCATCAACCGGAGTCAGAATGACGTGGGGCCAACTGAGGGAGCAGCTTAGAGAACATCAGTGGAAAACTGGACTGAAGCCTCATGAGTTTGGGTTGTTTCAGATGTTCCAGGTGAGCGATGCCCTAAAAAAGGTGTATATCTTTCTTGAGGGTAAGCACAAGAACACGACCATCAAAACCAAAGTGGTTCAAAGATTAAACACACCAAAATAAACAAATCTGGGCAATGTAGTATGTTGAGACAATTATTTTCTGTCTATCCTAATCTGCCAGGATACCTGGAGATTCCTGCTCTGTGGATTCCGGCCCCCACCAGCGTCCGCATCTTTCATTTCTTATTGGTCGTCCTCTTTATTTCTCCCCTCACTGCTTTCACCCCAGCTAGTGGAGGCAGACAGCTATTTTCTCCACGTCTGATTCTGTTGAAGTTTAGATGCCCCGAAAGCCGAGTTCTTAGTAACACACCCTTTGGCGCACATCAAAGCATGTAAATGTTTTTGTAGACAGTGAGGAGCAGGCAGGATTCTCTGTGGAGCGAGCAGCGGTGGCAGCAGCATGGGCTGCACGAATATGACTGAGACTTTACAGTTTAAATGGCTCATTGTGACGGAAATGGTACATGTGATGAATTGCATTATTAGGAATCGAAGGAATTTGTGTAGTCTGCCGCTAATACGCTTAGCACTAGTCACGAATGAAACGGCTCTTTATAGAATCTCAGAGAGAAGGTAAAGCAGCATCCTTCATATCTGAAGTCTACAAAAGTAACACTGCTCACGCCCATTTTTTTTTTTTTTTTTTGACTAACTATGGGAGGTCAGCACGGACTTCTCCACATCTTTTGCCCTGCCCACATGCTCGGACATTTCCTCATTCCCGTGAAGTGCGTGTGAAAGCCGAAGTGGGCAACACACACACACACACACACACACAGTATTGCATCCGATCGCTGTGAGATTGGGGTGGAGGTGGTGCGGGCACAGAATGCCAGGAGTAATCATTACATTAACGTGAAAGGACCTGTAATTATTGGTGGGGACAAATCTGTAAAAGAGGAGTAAAAATACACAGCGCTACAGAAAAGTGAAGAAATGAGTGAAACAGGATGGTATGAAGTCATTTCCTGTCATGTTTGTAAAATACCACAAAATATTGTGAATAATGTGCTGCAGCTGAGCCTTGATTAGAAGAAAAGCAAAAAAAAAAAAAAAAGAACACAATTGAATCTTTTCCTGAAACCATTCAGTCCTAGGAAAATAAAGATGTTTAAATAAAATATTGAATTTAAGTCTGTTTTTGTCCTTTATTGAAAGTAGTTAATTAAGGAATAGCATAAAATGGCAGGGCCGCACTTAAAATATATTTCCTACGGTTTCTTTAAAAAATATATTTTTCAATAATTATCTATATCGATCAATATGACTTTTTTTAAACCACTATGCTTATATTTTATATCATCCATCCTTAATCTGAAATAATTTACTGGACAGTTGTAGTTGAATTTTGATGGCACAAAGAGTGTTTTGCAGCTGCTGTTTATCACTGGATTCAAAGTTGAAGTTTATTTGGAAAGAGGCAATGCATATTGATAAACATATATATTTTTGTTCACATGTAAATATGTAACATCTCACTCAAAGTCATGCCTGGGCTAACATAAAGCTTCTGCACAAAAAGTGTTAAATGCACTTGCAAAAAGTTCTACTCAACATTCATTTATACGTCTCAAATCCTCTCTGAGAGACTCGCAGTGAGACACATAGTGTTCACTATTCCCTTTTCCACAGTTACATTGTTAGCATGCTCTGCTGCCACAGCCCGCTCTCAACCAAGACCCTTATTAACTACTTGAGAAGGGTCTTTTTCTCAGGTCTCGCCTCTAGAGTCTTGATTGGCCTAATAAAGCATGTCCATGGGCATGTACCGCACATTGATTCGGCCAATTAAGAAGGTGACAAACCCTGGACATATTCTCTATGCAGACACTGTGAATCTCATGTTATCATAATGATGCAGGGGAGAGATTCTGACACTGGATTTAAAAGACGTGTCCTGAGACGATGTTTGGGACATCACCCCACATTCCTTTCGTATTTTATTAAAAGGCAAGATTCAGTAATTAAAATAGCCAGCACATCTTTAATTCATTAAATCAATACTTTCTAATGTTTCTATCTTGTAGCTTTAATGAGATCACTTCAAAGTAAATTTTATCTAATTAAAATGCAAAAAACTAAAACTACACAACTACTGGTTTTGTGGTCATAAAGAATTCACAGTATGTATTGTCATGAAGAAAGAGTGAATGTAGCAAAGTGTTTCCAGAAACACACCTGACCTCGAGAGATGCTTTCCTCATCAAATGTAGAGCGCTATGATTGGCTGTGCCTAAACGTAGTCAAGCCAATGGTTGACCTGCTGAGGCTACAATGGAGCATAACTACACCGACCTGTAGAGAAAAATATTTAGTTACTGCTACAGTTTGTCTAGGTTTCTAAGCTAGCTGATAATGGCTAAAAAAAGAGAAGCTACAATAATCCAAGTACATAATGTACACACAATACATATGGTGATGAGAACAATCTTTTAAGTATTTGCCGCACGCATGTGTTTGTGTGTGTGTTTGTGAAAGACATTTTTATTCAAGGTGTAGGGTTTTCTTTTCTTTTTTTAACCTTGGCTGAAGGTGACATAAATCACTTTCTTAGTGAGTGCTCACATTCCACCTTGAGAGCACCTAGTCCCATTTTTATCAGTATTAATGGTTGTCCCCTTACTTAGCCAAAGCTATTTCACACTTGGTTAACTACGGTATTGGAACGTCTCCTTGGCTGTATATTTAGCAAGGCCTTCCTAAACATTTTTGAAGCACCTGATCACTAAGCAATAGCTGCCATTCGAACAAGCTACGAAAACCCACAAATGTAATTTATATTTGTTTCTCATGCTGGTCATTTCTGAACATAAGTACCTCATGAGGAATCCTAATCGGTTGATAATGCTGAGAAGTTCTGCCTCTGCTTTATGTCTTGGCTGTGCACACGTCAAGTCCCAGCCCCCCTGCAGTTTGCCCTCCTTAAAAAACATCAGCTCTAAGTAATGCTTGAATTGCTAAAGCAACTTTTTACAAAAGGGCAAGGCACCCACAGACTGGTTGAACTCTTAATAAAGACACTTCAAAAGGAGCACGTTTAAGTAAAAAAAGGAAAAGTTAGAAGCGATTTCCTAGTAAAGCCCTAAAATTAAACTTTCCAGAGCTGAAGCTTTACTGCTTCGCCATTGTTAAACTTCCACAAAGCTACACTTCATCCCAGACCCCATGTGGCCTTAACAGCAGCACTATTTCCTCCTTCTCTTTCTTTGTACATGAACACACTGAGGAGGGAATGTGGGTCAATATCCACATGACTTCCTGTCTTCCTTGTTAAACCTCTGCCAGGTGTTACAGGTAAAACAAAAAGAAAGGTCATAAAACTCTGTTCCCCCAGTCTAAAAACTCATCTGCTTGTTTTGCTGTAACATTGATGTATGTTTGCAGCAGATGTGCTTAAAGCTGCTATAGTAAATTTGGAAATCAAGTTAGCTTAAAACATTTTTTTCATGCCTCTTAACAACGATCTAACATGGTATCACTATAAATTAGGGCTGGGGGCAAACGATTATTTTTAAAACGATTATTCTGACGATTATTTTATCGAATAGTTGACTATTCTAATGACTATTTACACAATCTAATGATTATTTGGCTATTGCACAGTTAATAAAAACCAAAAAATCTCTAATAAATTCCTCAAATAAATTGATAAATTGTTACTGTAAGAGAATAAACACTACAGGCCTTCCATTCTGTATAACACCGCTTTTATTGTGTTGCGGTTGGTTATGTTCTGGTGACGTGTAGAACGTGGGAGTGCAGGCTGCTGCCTGAGAGGTGGTTGGAGACAGAGTGTCTCCATGCTGCTTTGTTTTGGTCACTTATGTGTGTGAGGCGAGTGGTGTTACGACCCTTCCTGGGGAGTTTGGCTCGTGTGCAAAAAGGAAGGGACAATAACATGGGATTTAAAAGTTAAAATGATGATCAGGTTTATTTACAACTACAAAAAAACATAAATCTTTCCATCCACAGGTTGGGAGTAATAAAACTAATTCTGCCTGTGGGGAATTAAAACAAAAGTACAAATAAGTAGGGTTGTCCCACTGGGCAAAGATTACAGGGTTCTGGACCAAAATAAGGATCTCCAAAGGTCCAAACTCTAAACTGGGTGGTTAAACCAAACTCAAGGTGATATTTTAAACTAAACCGAAAACCCACAACACTCTAAATGTAATAAAAGGGAGATCTACACGACAAAAAAGATGAACTCCAAACCAAAACGTGTAACAGCTTATCCAAACGCAAGAAGCTGTTAGTGAAAATGCTAACAGTAGCTTTACCAATGTTAAGTTCAAGTTACCAAGTTTAAATAAGCCAAAAACACCCAGCAGCAAACAGACCAGCGTGGAGGAGAGACTGCTTCCAAAAAAGCTCTCCTAATGTCTGAAAGAAGCTCCTTTATGAAGGGAGAAACGCTCCCGGTGATTTTCTACATCTACATTATATATATATATTAATTAGCAACATTTCCTTTATATTCCACTGTCAAGGGGTCTCAGTAGTATGTGGAAGAGCCATACACTATGCTGGTTACTGGTCTGGTCACGTTTTATTCTGACCCCAGAAGTTGTTGTCCGTTGCCGGAAGACGAAGGCGGGCAAAACAGGAAAATAATCTAGTAGTGGACGGACATTGTTCCGGGTCTTCGGTATTTGGTGGAGATGTTAGTGAAGGCGGAGAAGAGGGCGAACTAGAGGAAAAACTGGCTGATTCCTCCTCTATTTACAAACTCCTGGGGATGCAACAAGTGGGCGCGGTGCGTCGACTACCGGATCTGACGTCGACACATTTTTTAGAATCGAGCCGTTGGCGTCATCGATGCTTCGCTACAGCCCTACTATAAATATATGGTGAAGATAAAAAAAGAAGTGGTTTTCTTACATCTGTCTACAAACCTCCGCCAAAAGCATGACTTGGACCAAAGCAACCTTTGTACCATGTAGCGGTCTTTCTCGATGAACCGCCGCACTTCCACACTTTCCTGGGTCCTGGTGTGAGAGGTTCTCTGCTCAGTAATATCGGAGAAGGAGAAACAGTTGGTTGCTACCACTTCAACTTTAGGACAAACTACCAGAGTCCCCAAACGAAAAACACCATTTGAAGTCACAGACAACAAAAGACGTTTGGAACTAGAAAACGGTGACAAGCACTATCATGTTTCCTCTGGCAGTGTGCATGTTTCTGGTTCCAGTGGATGTGGAACCAGTGAAGATACCCGAGGGGAGGAGTGAGTGTTCCTTAACTGTGTTTGTGTTCAGAACATAGACTGTACATACTGGACAAACGGATTCCATAGGCTCCAATAACACGTTTTTTGTCCATAATGGGAGGTGGCCACCAACGCCATTTTGACCGTGTCACAGGTTCCGTCCAGCCCAGACAATTCCATAAAAGGGAAGAGAGGAGGCGCTGAGGGTGGGGCTGTAAGGCTGGGATCGAGTGACGAACTAGCTACGAGCTTACCTGAAGCTAACCCTGGCTAACCCAAAGCTAAAGCGGAGGTGGGAGCCGAGCTAACGGATGTAGCCACCTAGCTTCAATTCAACCGGAGCTAACTGGAACACCCAACGACCTGACCCTCACACGGAGTTTAGGTGGAGGTTTTCTGCGCCTGTTCGTGAGAAGTACCTGTATTAAAAAAGTTTTAAATCGGTAAGTTTATAATTTATTTCCGTAATGAAAACATTTTGCTTTGAGCAAGTTTTCAGTACAGTTTTTTTCGGCGCTATCACTCCTGAGTCGCACCAGCCATTAAATGTATCATGAAGAAGAGAAAATATATTTAAGTTGTATTTTGGGGGGACATTTTATTATCTTTCTTACAAAATCTGAGACCAAGCGTTTCACATTGCAACACAAGCACCGGTAACCATGAACAGCCAGCAGAGGAGAGGATGGCGGTGTTTGAAACCCTCCCGGCCGGCGTGGAGAGCTCATTCCTGGGCTGGAGCCGGCCCTCAGCACCCCGCCACAGGCTCTAACAGATGCTGGCGGTGTTTCATATGTTTCCAAAACGTAATACTTGTTTGTATCTTGTACAGCCAACTAGCCTTTATTCTGGACTCAGTACAATTTACCAAAAGTAAAGAGACATTATACAGATGAAGTAAGCACAAGATAACTTACTGGAAGACACGGAATTATCATGAGAACCAGAACAAGAGAGCCTGATAACAGTCATGTGAAAATAACAGTTAAAAAGTATGTATGTATAATAGAAATAAAAATATATTAGAATTAGTGTAACTCACTGTGATCCAAACAATAAATCAGCCATAGCTGATTAGTAAATATGACATGAGGTCTGGGAGTTTTTAAGTTTCATTCTTTTATTACATTTTTTTCTTAGATCTGTTAAAAGGTCACCATGGCAGCCTGTGTGTCTCCAACATCAGCTACACAACGCAGCGTGTACGTTCCAAATACCTGTCTTGACCACTTCATGTATGGTTTTGTACTTTAAACAATTATGACAAACCTGTTATTTTTCCTCCATAGCCATTTGGATCATTGGTGACAGCTACGTGAGGCGTGGTGCCCAGAGAGCTGCAGAGACTGTCGGACACAACCTTGGCCTCCCTGACGTCTGTGTCTCCTGGTTTGGTTGGGGCGGACCATCGACATACATACATGTGCCGACACTTTGCGCCCTGTTTTATAAAATGTAGTGTTAAAAATAAATGTTTTTGCTCAATTACTGGAATTTATTTGGTTAAGACAAAAGTGAGGAATAATCATTTACAAGTTATTTGTACAACAGGCCCATTTTAAATCCCAACAGTTTCTTAGCAGACAATAGAAATGTGTTCTTTACTAACTTTACTTGGTTTGAAAATTTTACTAAAATAAACTTGAGTGCCGTATTGCAAAACCCAATCATACTTGTTATGTAAACATTAGCTTTGTAGATATTTTTTACAGATATATATTTGTGTGCAACAAAAACCAAACTTAAATAATTTGTCATTCTTTATTGAAAAACAACAAAATACAGGTATACAGAAGTGTGGGAAAATGATAATGTGAAAGTATTGCACTATAAATGAAGTGAGATGAGATGAAGGTGGACGCCAGCGGGCTGGACGCCGGACGAAGAAACCTGGAGACGGATCGCTCAGACAGGAAGGGAAGAGCTTCCTCTTACCTTGATGGAATTAAAGTTAGCCGTCGTCTGAACGCCCAACCGTACGGTCTGAGGTCAAAGGTCACAGGAAACACACACCAGTCAGCAGTCATACAGATGCATAAAGATAACTGTAGCCATGGCAACCAGCTGAAATGTCCCCACTTTCACCAGCACCTGGTGCCTGCCGGGTCACCTGAATTCCTGTGTGATGTCAGCACGGTCGGCCGTGACTGCGGCCATCAGAGGTGACCTCTGATCAGCTGAATGAACTCACCTTCCAGGGTGACGCCGTGTTAGAGTCGGCTTCATCCTGTAAACAAACAAACAAACAAATGAGTGGTAACAAAAACACCACGTCTGGTTCTGGTGGAGGCGGAGGACAACATGCACCTTTCCAGGAGCAGCACCCAGATGTTCTTGTTGCTACAAACAGATGAGCAGAGTTAAACCAGGAAGTGAGAGGGACCAGTTGCTGCAGACAGGTGACGCTCACCTGAGCCTGAACCATAGGAGCCTCCTCAGCCATCAGACCTTCTGACTCCAGTTCAGATGCCACCTTGTTGATGTCCCTCAGGCGGGACTCGTTGGCCTTCAGGTCCTGCAGGACAAAAGCACCTGCTGATTACCTTGTTGCGTTCGGGTTAACAGGTCTGGTGTTAGAACGTGGTGGATAAGAATGTTCTGACGGGCCGAGGGTTCTGAACTCACCCTGCAGGACTGGGCCTGCTCCTTCAGGGCCTGGATGCTGCTGCCGTAAGCCGACAGGTCCGACATCAGGGCCTCGTGCTTCTTCAGGAGAGCCTGTGGAGCAGAACATCAGAACCTTCAGCTCGTCTGAAACAAGTGGAGCTTTCTCGCAGCGATGGTCCAATCAGATCCGCCACCGTAAAACAAACCCTGCTCAGTTCACCGCAGACGCAGCTCTGCGGGTGTTTAGTGGAAAAGCGTGAGCCTTCTGCCGGCTGCCACGTGTCATGGCTGCTCTGCAGCGGGAACACACATCACAGCTTGTAAACCGTTTGAAATAAGAGCGACGGGAACACGTTTGTCATCACTTCCTGTGCGAGGCCAGCACTTCTACCCCTAACCCATGAGACGCTCAAACGACCAACGACGTCTGGTAGACAACCGAAGGAAATGACAAATACAGAAACACTAATTATGAAGGACTGGAAAGAGAGCAAAGAAAAGCGATTGGAGTTTCTCAGGAAGGGATTCCATACCTCGGCCAAGTCCTCGTCTTTCCCTTAGTCTGGACTTCCAACGATGGGCTCCTTCTCCCTCATCCAGGACTCGGCCTCATTAGCATCCGCAAAGTACTGCTGGGCCTGCAGAGAGTCCTCCAGGTCCTGCGTCCTCTGGGACGCCTTGGCCTTCAGCGTGTCCCAACGTCCATGAAGCTCCCACAGTTTAGTCTTCACTTCCTCACCAGCGAAGTGACCTGGACCCAAAAAAAGTGAGCCAGAACCTGCAGACACCTCAGAAACATGTCAGGACCAGACCTGCTCTACCTTCCTCCACCATGGTCTCTCCTTTCTGGGTGACAGCCTTGATGCGAGGTTCATGACCTGTGATCTCAGCCTGCAGAGCCTGGTGCTTCTTCAGCAGGTTCTGGACACCAATCAGGTCCTTCCCTGAGGACACATGTTAGAGTTCAGCATTATGCAGTAGACAGACCAGTTTAACCCAGGGGTTTCTTTCTTCTACAGTCTGCTACAGTATTATTTCCTGCTATTTCAGCTGTTAACTTTATTTTTTCTGTAAGTGTTTTTCTCCCCAGAAGAAGCTACAATGGTGTTCTGCTGAGCTGTGGTGGCTTCATGGAGGGGGCCATCGGCTAGCACACTGCTGCTAACCACTTAAACATTCTCCCTCTCCTGATAATAACATTTTACTTTCTTTGATGTTGGATGTGCTACTACTAGTTTACCCGTTTAATTATAGATCCACTAGGATAAATACAATAAAGTTTATCTCTCGCCAAATAGAATATTTACTAAGAAATCACAATGTAATGTCAGTGTGTGTGTGTGTGTGTGTGTGTAAAAGCGATGTGTAGTGTTTATTTATAAAGCATGTGTTGTTGGATTTTATACACAATCGAGACTTTGAAAATATATAGTTTAATTACAGTTTGATTTATTTGACATCAGTATAATGTTTATTATTTTGTTTTTTCCCCCTAAATACCTAACGTTTTAGTTAACATGAATATTAGTCATTCATCCCAAAACATAAAGTTACACATTTTAAATTTTAATAGGGGAAGACTGCAGGAGGGAGCGGTAAAATACAGGGGGTCCCCTGCAAAAACTAACTTTACGAGTCTGATGAAACTTGCTGGTGTTCCCGCTGCTTCTTCAGTAAACAGCGCCAACAAAAACAAAGAAACTTGGGATCTTGTCGGCGTGGCGGTGGGATTTAAGGGAAACGCTGTATGCCCTATAGACTTCTCAACGAGCTGCAGTATTTCTCCGGTCAGATCTGTCTCCGAGTTCGAGAGCTCCACGAGCGGTCAGCCCGCAGCAGCGAGGCGCCGCATCGGTCAGCCTGCCCGGCCTGACCGCTGGGGATTATCGGATGAAAGAATGGAGCACAGGTGTCCCTCCAAGCGGCGCGCTCCGTCATATTTCAACCCATTTTTATCTGAAATGCACTGGGTTTTACCCTTTTACCCATCGAAATATGCCCTATTAATTATTTTACCGTATTTTACATTTAAATTTCATGGTTAAACAGTACATGCTACATGTTAAACTGATAGTTAGCTAGCTACTTCGGTAAACTCAGCTAGGCGGCAGTGACATAAAATACAAATATAGATTTTAACTTACCGAAAAAAATGAAGTGGAGACTCCTTGGATGCTCTATTAGTGCAATTAATACCACAGCAAGTCATTTTGTCCAACAATTGCACCAATAATATCCAAAACAGAATTCACAAGCACAGAGACTCAAAATCCCCACACAGTTTCCAGGAGAGACCGAGGCTGTACTGAGGCCTTTCCACGGAGCTAGCTATGTGGTCACGTGGGTCTGAGGCGGCGGTCACGTGTGTCGGATGCTCATTAATTATACAGAATTTTAGGCTTTCAATACACTTAAACAGAAGAGTGAGAAAAAAATTCACCCCCCTCAGAGTTGTCATGAGTATAAACTAGATAATTTAGACAAAAAACATGTTTTGGTACCAGGCTGTAAACATGTTTATTTCTGCTGTGAAAATGGCATTTTTAACATGGGAGTCAATGAGGATTTGCTTGCTTCTGGTCCAGCCCCCAGCAGATGAGGGTGGAACTGCAATTTTTCTTACTTCCGGGATGGAACCATTTTTAGAGCGGCATTGTGGGGGCTTGGTTCAGAACCTAGCCATTTTACTGATTCACTGTAACAGTTTTAACTTTGCTTTCCAAATTCTGTGGGCCATCCACAAATTATAACATCTGGTTATAATTTGAAAAAATAACAATTATAAATCTGTTGTCAATCTAATCTAATCATATATTATTATTGTCTTGTGTCATTGTCACTGCATTAAAGAGATATTCAACCCGTAAGTGAAATTTTGTCTATTTCTGTATTCCCAGAGTTAGATAAGTGAGAAAAAAGCATTTTGTAACCAGTGCAGTAATTCTCCTGGCTTAGCAGCAGTCAGCCTGCGTTGGCTTAGCATAAACAATGGTAGTGAATAGCAGGAACTAGCGTTTTGTGTGCAAAAGTGATAAAAATTACGCAATATTGATACAAAGAATTCCTGGTAAGCTCACTAATAATGTCGACTGCAAATGAAAAGTTAAAAGTAACATGAAGGATTTGCAGGAGCCGATTTACTTGGGACTACATTATGACAAAGCACCGCTGTAAAGGTTGGTTTATGCTTGACGCGTCCGCGAGGTCCGCACAAAAGTTGCGTCATTTTGCGTAATTTTAACAACCACGCCCCTCCACCGCGTCTCCGCACGACCCAAGATTTCCGCAACGCGCACCTCGGAAAATTTCTAACCACGCGGACGGATGGACGCGGAAAAACATGGCGGACCGGCAAGAACTAGTATGGCAGAGGTTTGTAAATACAGACATTTGTATGATTCAGCTCTCAGAGATCACCGTGATCAACATGTTGTTAATAATTCTTGGAGAGAAACAGCTCGCACTGTCGGAAAAGACGAGGACGCTGTTAAAAATGCTGAAATGTCATGTTGTAAACAACAGTTTCTACTTCTACTATGGTGTGGTGTTGGATGCATGCTGTAGAGCTCCATGCTGCCCCACTCAGTTTGGGAGAATATTGGCTCACCGCAGAGACGAGCCGCACAAACCATAAACGCTGCGAGTTGTGAAGCGCGTTCCATCCGCGAGCCGCATCACCAAGCGGAAAGTGAATGCGTCAAGCATAAACCAAGCTTACGCCTCCACAACATGGAGCACGGATATAACAAAGCGATCGATAAACCATCCGGCTCTCTCTTTTTTGGTTCTTCACTACACACAGAGAAAATAGAGCTTGATTTCACCCTTTTTTTGCTGACACATTTTGGCTAACATCTGTAGCCTTGTTCAGAGCGTCGCTACAGCCGTTAGCCAAAACCTGTCAGTAAAAAATTTTTTTTAAAAAAGAGCTCTATTTACTCTGTGTATAGTGAAGGACCAAGAAAATGTATGTAACAAAGAAGAATCTCCCATTGGTATTCACACTCATTTTGAATTGCTTAGTAGATTGGATGATTGTACTTTCTCACTAATAAGGAAAAAAACAAAACAAATATTAGCAACTTTTCCTTTATATTCCACTGTTAAGGGGTCTCAGTAGTATGTGGAAGAGCTATACACTATGCTGGTTACTGGTCTGGTCACGTTTTGCTGTAGAATGACATCCCATTCCATTATTCTACTTATCTGCTGAGAAGTGGTGGCATTAGTGGTTTTATAATGGCTTGTTGATCCGTTTACAAGCTATTTATATCAGTAGTAAGATTTTGTCTAACATCTTTTAAAATACTGATCCCCTATAATCACTTATTGCTTTCTGATCAAACAGATTGAAGTCAAATTTATGTGGTCATTTTAACTAAATGATAAAACACAATGAAATGGTTCTACATTTCACACATGCATGCATGAAAAAGCCAGCCCTGAGCCAGGAGAAAATCCATTTACTATTCAATTCCCATTTCTGAGACGTACATTCAGTTTGGGGAGCAGGTCATATCCTCAGCTGGTGGAAAGCTATCAGGGTTGTGTGTGCATGAACTTATTATTTAAAGTAAGGCCAGGACATTTCTCTTTTTGAAAAGGCTAAATCGCAGAGGTGAAAAGTGGGGGATGAAAAAACTTATGCATTTTACAACAGATTTTGATGAAAATTATATTTTTGCCAATTTGAATGGAATTTCTGCATAAAGGTTGTAATTAACTACTTTCTGGATTGCTATAATTTTTGCAAGGTGAGAGCCAGAGAATCTGGGTAGCCAATGAAAATATGGAGCACGTTTCAGCAGTTCAAGGACACATGTTAGGCTTCGAAATGGACTGTAGGGATTTCCTTGAGGATCTAGTTCAAAAGAGTCATCAGAGGCGAGTTGGATTTTCCAAATGTCTCTCACTGTATTCCCCAAATAGAGAATGAATACGAGTTACTATTAAAATACAAAATATTACACAACAAGAAAACTGGTCAAAATTACCACCAAGTCAACTCAATGGTCTAGCACCAAATCAGGAACCGTGTTCATCACCGTTAATAAAACAATCACTGTATTTTGAAAACATGTTGACAATATGCAAATAAAAAAAAGTACAAATAGTTGCACAACTGGGTTTTCCAGCTGTCTAAATCCGTTATTATAATTATGGATTTTAATAATATTGTCATTCATTTGGAGCACACATTTATATGTTGCTTTTAATGAAAAAAAATTTTTTCAGTATTTATTTTTTTTGTAAACTGATGTTTTCAAAATAGTAGACTTAGTTAAACTCATTAAACCACATAGTTTATTAAGCATGTAGAACTAAACACCTAATGTAAAAATGAAAATAAAAAAAGAGAGCTAGTCAACATTGTAGTCAACTATTCTACAAATGCAAATGTTAGATCAGTGTTTCTGTCATCAACTTTCTTTTCTTAACTGTGCTCTTATAAAAATTAAAAACAATCACACTATTAGTTTGATTTCTTTGAAAGCATCCAACCCAGCCTCTAACCACAGATCCATTAATTCATTAAAAGAAAAAGCTTTTCCATTTACAGGAATTTCTATTCTAATCTTTAGTTTTATACTCTCCAGTCATAATTTCATTACCAAACTAAGTTGTTCTCTCCATTCAACCAGCAACTAGGGACTCATGGTGTATTTTTAGCCTACTGCTCCCACCCACAGCAGTGTTACAACCCACCCCATCACCATTTGAATTGGGTCCTGTGGGATCCCGGTCCCAACCCAGTGCAGGGCTCTCCTCTGCACATTTCCACATGTTGAACATTTGAAGGTTTACCATGATGTTTAGGAATCTGTTATCACAGTTTTATTAGTAAAATATGTCAGTTCTAATAGTACGAAAGTTGTCCACATTCCATCCATCTATCTAGGCATTTTTCCACTTTTCCAAGATTAGGTCATGAGGGTAACAGTGGCCCTCCCAAGATGGCATCCCAAAGTACGCAGGCCAGAGTGGATACATAATCCCTCAAGGGAGTTCTGGCTCTTCTCGGGGGGTCACCTCCCAGTTCAACATGCCTGGGAAAAACCCCAGACGGAGGTTAGTACAAGAAATCCTAATCTGTCATTTTCTGTGTCCCTTTGTTCCCCAGCCCCTTCCTGTTCCCACTTCAGGCTCTCCTCTTGTGTCCTCCTAGTCACTCCCTGGTTTTCCTAGTTGTCTTTAGATTAGTCCTCCTCACCCAGCTGGTTATTAGTGGTTTACATTTGCCCTCTGTCTTTTAGGTTTAGTTAAATCCATGTTTTATAGGTTAATGTTTATCTGCCCTCCTGCCAAGCTCTTTCCCTTCCCATTTAATTAATTGATTCCACCAGTTTCTCCTCAGCTCACACTCCTCCCACCTGTCACCTGCTTCCCTGATTACCTCCCTCTGTGTTTAAAAGCCTTGTCTTGTCACTCTGTTTGTTGGTTCATTGTAATTGTCAGCGAGTTCTGTTCTCCTCTAGTCACCCTAGTTCGTGCTCATGAGTGAGCTTGCTTGCTTGCTTGTTTGTTTGTTTGTTTGTTCGTTTGTTTGTTCGTTCAGCGAGTTTGTTATTGAGTCGGGTTTGTTTTGTGCCTCCGGACTTTGGCGTATCCACCTTTAAAATAAAGGAAGTATTTTCTCAAACCTCTCCTGCCTTGAGTCATTCTGGGGATTCTGCATCTTGGGTCCTAACCTCCGGCTCTCACTGTGACATAATCAAATGCGCAAGCTGACGCAGAGAAGCAACAGCTGTATTCCAAGCTCCATAAATGCAAGACACAGCTGGATGATGGAGCTCCTAGCCTTCTCTGCAAGGCTGAGCCCAGCCACCCAACGGACGAAGCTTGTTTGTGACAATTATAACCAGTAATACTTTTCTTTTTCACATGGACTTGAGGTCATGATGGGTAGCCTGCAGAAGAACAATGTTAGCTCAGTAGTTCTGTTGGACAGATGGCAAGAATAATTGTTTCACACAGAAAAATGTTTAAATTGTTTAACAAATCATTATCATACATGTATAAAGACGTTTGAGGGTAGTAATAGCAGTACAAAGGTATGCAGTTTGTGTAATATACCTAAAGACAAGCCATATTATATGTTTTCTTGGATGGTTCACACTCTCTTTAAAGCTAACAATGCATGAAATAGAGTTTGTAGCTCAATCCCATTCAAAAATCCAGTTTGACTTCGACACACTAGAAGCAACACATAAACAGCGTTATTCTTGGGGGTGGGGGGAGTAGACTGAGAAGTTGCTGCAGATAATTACAAACACACTCTGTGTCCATTTAGATCCAAAGTATTTCTAATTTCACAGATGTGATCAACCTTACTGGGAGTCTCTTTTTCTCTTCCTGTCCCTCTGGATGTCTTTGACAGTGATGATGAAGTGTGTAACGGGTTCTGCTCCACACTTTGTCACTTGGCTGTCTCGATGAGTCCAGGACTCTCTCCTAGGCAGTGGCGCAGGGCTTACAAGCTCGCTGCCGAACCGTGAAACTGCCATTCTCGCCCTCAAAGCAACCGGTCTCCCCTTGAGGAAAACACCCTGGTCTCAGTCATTCCTTGATATCAAATTTGACTTCAATAAGGGTGGAGGTGTTCACACGACAGCGGTGATGATTA